AAATGACTCTGAAAGCACGAGTTCATTTATTTATAATTTACAAAAACAAAAGATAAATTATCTTTGGAAATTGGGCTAACTTGATTGCAGTGCTTAGCTCGAGATTGAGAAGTCATTGATTTAGCAAGTTGTTTAGCTTGACGAATGATGATTTAACAAGATGGAGCCAAAGTTCATGTCCTGAAGAATTGCTGCATGATGAAAGCGAAGAAACTGTCGGTGGCATTCTGCAGTTTAGGATGAAAACCGTCGTGTTCACTGCCTCACCCCAGAACACCACCGGCATTTTCTTCGCCTCCATCATGCAGTGTGCCATGGTCAGATTCCGCGAGTCCACCACTTTGTTCCGCTGTGGTGAATACGGAGCCGAGAAGGTGGTCAAGTACGGCTGCGAATCATCCAGGCGCACTGATGTGGACTCGAGTTGATGGGTTCAGAGAGATTAAAGACCATTATACCCGGAATGTACTGGGAATATACCCCAAAGGTCATGGGATTGATGTATTCCAGTGTTGTCTTTCATGTTCTCTATAAGTACGGACTTTGTAATTGCTAATGACATAGAGCGATACAGTAATTTGTTCCCCTCTTTTGGCATGTTTGGGACTGCTTGAAATCGGATCTGCGGTCGCCCCACCGCGAGAATCACGAAAATCCCGCCAAACACCGCACCAGTATCAATCATTCTTTCCACCACCGGAGACACAGCTACCACGAGATTGAACTAGACCTTGCGTTCTCTGCACCGGGGGTGGAGGCCACAGTATCGATACAGCACCACACGGTGGCCACGTCGCGGTCCCAAACACGCCTTTTGTTTCATTCCTTTTTGATTCATACCTTCATCAGGGGTCAAGAGCCAACGGACCCACAACACTGATGAAAAGTGGAGGAGCAGGGAGGAAGCAGTTATTTTAGTTGGATTTGATTCTTAACTGAGGAGGAAGCAGTTAATCCATACACAAGGTGACAAGGGTGCAGACATCGCAGTGAAGGAGCAGCAGTGACGGAGGTATCCTAGCAGTCGCATGGGTCAACGACGCAAGGAGAGGGAGGTGCTAATGCTTCTGCTCCTACAGCAGCATCCTAGCAAAGTGCTGGAGCACCACCGCACCAGAGACCGGCCGGGACGGCAGGCAGAAGCAAACGGATGCGCGAGAAACCAGACAAAACGAAGCACTGGGTAATTACGTCGAGCAGTTACCGTGCAACTACTGCTTACTTGATGGCACGCGATTGGCCGCTGCCAGCAGCAAGATCCACGGCCCCAGATGGAGTCTTGGAGTAGACGAACACCTAGAGACCTTCAGGAGCAATTGCAGCGAGCTTGAGCTTGAGAGTGCCGGCCGGCGACGCGCGTGGCAGCAACCGCAGCCACAATCTGCAAATGCAGCAACGGTTGGGGTTCACTTCAGGGGTGAGGGGGCATTTAAGTATTTAACACCTTGCTAAAACTGAAGCATACCACAAGCACGAGTAAAGGAATCAAACCACTTTCAAAGTGCTCGGCGACGAACGCTTCACAAGACCAGCTACAATCTGAATTGCTCTAATACTAAACAGCAACTCGAATAGGCAATTCCACTAGTAGTCCAGCAAAGAGATCTCCAAGTGCAGTCTGCGTAGGCTAAATCGGCTTTGTTAGTAACAGACGGATTAGTTTGTTTTGCAAGAATTGGGAGAAACATCAAAGAAGACAAAACCCAAGGGTTAGAGCATCCGAGGAGATATATGAATCATAATCCAGATCGGTGACAATCTCAATCCGAAATCAGTCGTAAATAAAGCAGTACGCCGGAAACAGAGACGAACCTTGAGCTCGGACACGGCGTGGGAGACGATGTCATCGTCGCTGGCAATGGTGTGTCTCCAGTCAAGTCTCCACCGAATGGTCAGCACCGGGACGAGGGAATGAGAGCGCGTTAAGTGGGCGGAGGGAGATGACTTGACTCTGACTCACCAAGTCAATACTCAAAAGTTGTGTATGAACGAGTTGACTTAAGGATGCAAATACGCGTAATGGTGAAACGGTGGTGAAAATTCCTGGTAGTTCCTGTAATATGGAACATAAATAATTGAGAATTAAATATGTTGTTAGTGGAAATAAAATCTTTGAAACAAATAATAGAGTATTGGGCGTTACTGGCGCCCAGACGTCCAAAGCCGCTCCAAAATATCGGGCCCCTGTCCTCCGCACAGGAGGAATATTAGGCCCCCAGTCCTCTGCGCAGAAGGTCATACCGCACGCAAAAGGAAGCCTGTGCCACTTGTTTTCACGCGCCCCACTGCGTGGGTCCTACTCACCTGCCCCCGCCTGTGGATGTCGCGCCGCGGATGTGTCTGTCGGCCTCAGGCGTCCTAGTAGCTGCAGTAGGCGGCTGTGGCAAGTGGGTCCTGCAACACCCGACCTATTTTTATATCATCTAGATGAAACACTTGCAACAAACGTCTGAAACAGCTGAAACACTTGTAACATACGTCCGAAACACTTGCAAAACATATAAAAACATTCAGATGAAATACTTGCAACATACGTATCAAAACACCTGTTACAACATACGTATCAAAACACCTGAAACACTTGCATATATATGTAATATCCGGATCTACTTTTGCAACATCCAAATGAAACACTTGCAATATACGTCTGAAACAGTGAAACATTTGGAACATACAGTTGAAACATATGTGAATAGCCATTTGCAACATGTGCAACATCCCGATCTACTTTTGCAACATCGATATAAAACACTTGCAACATACCTCTGAAATATCTGAAACACTTTAAAACATACTCTTGCAACATGCGTTTTCAGTGTAACATCTACTTGTTTATTGGACTAATGGAGGCTCATTGGCACAAAGAGCTCGATGCCGGCGCGGAGATCGACGTTGACGTAGAGTTGAGGGTGCAGCGGATGGGCAGGTGTAGTACCCGCGGCGAGCAACCCCGCGTTGGATAGCCGTACTGGCAAGCGGGGTTTTCTTGTAAGCTAAACGGTTATCTAGTGCCACTATATCAAGTGGCGTGGTGAGAAAGTGAAATCCTTTGAAAAATGTTTGTGAAAGGCTTAATGTGTCTGTTGCGGCACCACTTGATCTAAATGCAGACTTGAGGAGTTAGCACATTTGAAAAAACACGTGCACAAATTGTCAGAACACTTGTGGAGTTAGCACATTTGAAAAAGGGTTTGAAACGAGGCTTAATGTGTTGTCTGTTGCAGCATCGGACATGTCCGGTGCACCACCGAGCGTGGCACCGGACGCGTCGACTTGTGAGAGCTAAGGAGTTTCCAAAGCACGCACCCTAGTGTCCGGTGTGACCTAATTGAGTGCTGGAGTTTCAAAATCGCTCACTGGACATGTGCGGTGTGGGCACCCGAGGCCGCACTAGATAGGAGTTTGAGGGAGGGGGTTGGCGTGCAGTTGGAGGTGTTGTAGGCACCGATGGTGTCCGGTGTGCACTAGATGTGCTATAGTCCAACAACTAGTTTGAGAGCCGTTGAAATTCAATCGTTGGAGGGCGTCTGATGTAGAGGTCTGGTGCACAGCACATACGTCCGGTGCGTGCACAGAATCTGCACCTTTTGGGGCAAAGGCTAGTTTGGCTTGGTGGGCTATATGTATTTGAGTTGGCTGGCCATTTGAAGGTGCTGAGGTCTGATCTTTGTGAACCCAACCACATGTACAGGTGCCCAAGAGAGCTACTCCACTCACTTGCATAGTTAAGTTGCGATTTGGTGTGAGATTGGAGTGATTTAGTGTATTTGCTTGAGAGAGATAGCATCTATTGGCACTAGGAGATAGTTAGCAAGCTTGAGGGCTTGTGACTCTTGGAGGTTGCCACCTCCTTGATGGTTTGGAGGCTTCAGGGATCCGTCGTAGCATGCATGAGGGGTGTTGTGCTCACCCCATGGGAGATCGCAAAAAGCAATTCTAGTAGAAGCGAGGTGTGAAGAGCGTCAAGTGATCCGGCCGAATTAAATTCTCGAGCTCTTGTGTGAGCACTCCTCGAGGCGACAGTGTAGGCTTGCGGGCCACCACTAGCAAGAGAATCACGGCAACCTTGGGCTTGGCTCAAGAGGGATTAAGTAGTTAGCAATCCATCGAACCAAAGGATAAAAATCACCGTGTCAACTTATCTTCCTGTTGGTTTGCAATTCCCTAGCATAAGCTTGTATTTACTTGATCATACTCGTGCTTGTGTTGTTGCTCATGTAACTAGTTTGCTTATGTAGTTCACTAGTTGCTCTCTTAGATTGTATAGCTAAGTGGCCTTGCTTAGTTTGTGTAGCCAAATAGTGGTTGCTCACTAGCTTAGCTTGTGTACCTTTGCTAGTTGAGTAATGCTAGTGTAGTGCTAGTTGTGCTTGCTTTGTGCTTGTGCTCACTAGTACGTGTCAGAGCTCCCCTATGCTTAGTTTACTAATTGCATAGGCTTGTGTGACCTTACTAACTATAATTGTTTAGGTGAACTCCCACTAACTCGGCATCTTAATTGCTTAACTAGGATCTTTTGTAAGGTGCTTGTGTGATAGATAGATGGGTGTAGTCTTGGCTAGACCAATTAGTTTAATTCTGCATTTGTTTTGATTAACCGACGCGATTAAATGTTAGAGAGGACTATTCACCATGCTCTAGACCCCCATCTTGACCCTACACTGATACACTTATAAATGAGTGCAAAGGCTGGATTGATTTTTCCTTTATCTAAAAAGAGTCCAAATTTTGGAATGTTGCAAATGTTTTTGTGAGTCCACCACAGTACCAGATGAATGGGTACGATATGCTGTCCAGTCATTGTTTTCATGTAGCATAGCAACACAAATTTATTTTAAGATGACATCAACAAATAAGACAACAGTACTTCAACATTGTCACATCTCGAATAGAAAGAAATATAACTGGAGAGCCAGTTACTTAGTCGCCAGAATGATAGATTCAGAAAGGATCTTAGTTTCAAAGGAAATTTATGTCATATATTGATGTCGGAGAAGGTTTTACTTCTTCTTGGACACCGATTTATCCTTGGAAAGACCATGTTTCAAGCCTGAAATTTCGTATAGGATGTTAGCACCCAGAAAGATAGCATAAACTGTATGGTTCTACCGATGTCAGGCTATGAATAAAAGCCCAACTTTTAAATTAAAGAATGATAGCTCAGTTGCGAACTTGAGATGGGACCTTTGGTTTTGAAAGAAATTAGTTTGGACCAGAAAGAAGGAATGTCATTTCGCTTGACAAAAAGAGATGAAAACATGTATACACTGAGTTTAACAAGTGTCTCCACTTCTTTACAAACGCTCAGTGTAACCAACGTTGATTTTTTTTAACAAGAATTAACTCTGCTTTTATAAAGCAAACGGTAATCATACAAAGTACGCTGGGGTTACCAGCACAGATGAAAGCATCGAACAGTCCTAAGATACAAGCTAGATTTCTGAAACATCAGAATGCAGGATAGCACTAGGAAGTAACAGACGTTGATTCGGTTTGTTTTAGTTGGCAACCTTTGCAGAAAAAAAAAACTTTTCAAGAATATCTAACAGAACATAAATGAAATTAGATGATCTGAACAGAGATCATCGGTGTGACGATGTCTCAAGTATTCATACCTGATTAAAAATTGGTACACGTTTCCCATTGAGTCTATCAACAATGTCCACTACAGAAGGCCTCTTTTTCCGATCAGCCTCCACACACTTTAGCCCAATTGCAATGCACGCTTTTACTTGCTGAAGGCCATTTGGATCTAGTGATGGGTACTTGCGTATTATCTGCTCATCTGTCTTCCAGTTTTGGTGCACCTACAAAATTGGATGATTTAATCCTTAGTGATAGTTTATTAATTGAATGTATGAAAAGATTCAAAACCAGATGTTTGAACCAAGGAAGTGCTGTCTTACATTGTCAACAAACTGTCTTGCAGATCTGTCTTCAGAAGCTGAATAGTTCTTCTCTCTAGTCGTGATCTCGATAATAATCATGCCTAAACTATAAATGTCTGACATGGTGGAGATTTCACCTCTGTATAGATATTCCGGAGCCATGTATCCACTGCAAATGTTTAACAAAGAACCAAATGTCCTTTATTTCATACAATTAATTTGAAGAAAAAACATATTCCACAGTTTGTTTCAGACTTACTTATGCCCCTTAACATTGACTGTGTATATCCGGGTCTGCTCTTGTCCGAAGAGTCTCGAGAGACCGAAATCGACAATCTTCGGCACGTATTTATCATCCAGCCATATAGAGTTAGGCACAAGATTCATGTGAATAAGGGGGCCGTCCAACTCCTTATGAAGGAAACGTAGACCCTGGCAGATCCCCTTAATTATTCTGAATCGTGTGTCCCAGTCAATTGAACTATTGTCTGCTGAAGAAGTACAAAGTAAAGAAAGTACTGATGAATTGTATGTATTTTAAGATAGTATTAATTCTCAAAAAGTGTGTATTTGCTTACAGCAATAGCAATGAATGAATATTGAAAAATAATAGTAGCAGTTCTTCTGAGACTAGTAGGAATAATAGTACAGAAAGAAAGACAAGCATGTTGGATAGTTCATATTACATACCATAGATGTGCTTGTCGAGACTTCCATTAGCTAGATATTCGTAGCATAGACAGCTTTCGATCATGTCTACAATAACATATCTTCCACTATGCTGAATCACTTTCTTCTGCGGTTCATGGCAGAATCCAACCAGCTGCACTATATTGTTGTGCTTAAGCGCCATAAGATTTGCAACCTCGTTATCAAATGTAGTGCCAGGTGCCACTGGCGCGTTTTCAGCAAGCCTCTTCACAGCAAGCACGCCACCATCCGGTAGAACCCCCTGTTTAGACATCAACTCACCATGGATTACTAGTTCATGGATTTTGTGTTGCAGAATGTCATGTTTTAGCTAGTTCTAGGGTCCAATCGTATACCTTATAAACTGTTCCAAAAACAGAACGGCCAACTTCTTGGTTATCAGTGAAATCTCTGGTAATTTCTTTCATGAAGGTTGCCGGTAGGTTCGTGGTTGGTAATGGTAATGTACTCGTAGGACTCTGTTGGCCCGCCATTTCTGATAATTGAAGTAGCTATACGGTTAGGACCTGCTTCAAATCAAGGCTTCTAAAACACACCCAAAGATGCAAAAAAAAAAAAAAAGATATGCTCATCAACCGCAGATACATACAGCTGGAACACGATTTATTCTTCTAAAACCATTCTAAAGCAACCAAGCTTCTTTTCTTTTAGATTCAGATCACAAGTTTTTTTTTTTTTTTTTTTTTTTTTTTTGATAAAGGAAGATTTGAAGCTGAAAAGGGGGAATGAACTGAATGTACATAAACAGCATAAATCACAGGCGCAACACCGAATTCGCACTAGCTTGATTGTAGTAAGCAAAACTGTTTTACAAATAACCTGATTCTTAGGAGCACTAACCTGGAGAAGAACACTTGAAGGATACTAGCTGCAGGGAACAACAGTTGAAGGAGCACTAACCGAAGGAGGCTGAGATGGATGCCTCCATTATTGCTGCAATGTAGGAGTATAAGGCCATGTTTAGTTCCTACCGATTCCAAATTTTGGCACTATGCAAAAAGAAGGTTCTTCGTCACATCAAACTTGCGGTACATGCATAGAGTACTAAATGTTGACGAAATAAAAAACTAATTGCACAGTTTGGTTGTACTTTGCGAGACGAACGTTTTGAGCCTAATTAGTCAACGATTGGACAATTAGTACTAAATAAAAACAGTGATTCGGCCAGCGCCAATTCGGCCGAACTAAACGCGGCCTAAAGAAAGCAGAGAGAAGCAGTTACCAACCGTGTAACAAAGACAAGTTGACTTGACCGAAGCCTCAGATGCCCAACAAGTCAGTCAATGACAATATGAGAGTATATCGTCACGCGCTTTTGTGAATTTGAACCTTCCACTGCTATGTGCACATATCTGAAATCCCCCAGTGAAGATATTCATAAACTGACCTGTGCTGAGGCTAATGATGGATATCCGATATTATCCGTATTTGTGAAGAATATAGTACAAAGTGCAATTATACATCATTTATATGTCCCTGTGACTAATGGATTAATAATGATATTAGTTTTAATAATTTTATGATTAATGATGACATATAATATTGACCTAATTAACTTTTAATATGTCCCTGAGATAATAATTATATATCGCTGAGATGTACCTACTGAAACTATTTACAGGTAACGGCTTATGATAATAATTTTAAGATAAATAATGACATATAAGATTGACCTATTAACTTTTAATATAGTTAATGACATTAACTTTAATATGGATTATTCTAATTCAAACTATATGACCAATTGTAACACCCTAAATTTTACAACATTTTTAAATAGGGGAAATTGATTTGTTAAGCATTTTATGGGCATTTGAATTTAGGAAATAATAATTGTATTAGGAATAAAATCAAATATAGGTCAACAACCATGAATGTGCATTCATGCCGCTGCATATTATTATTTTGAATTGCTTGGTGTGAAGTCGGATTTCGAATTGAGTTGAAATTGTATTTTGAACTTGCTTTGAAAAAATTAGAAAAAGAAAAGAATAACTTTCTTCTCCATGCTCGGCCTGTGGGCCTGCTCTTCCGTCCGCTGGCCTGCTTTGTTTTTTTTTCCGCTGTGGCCCGCTCGGCTTTGCTCTGGAGCCAGCCCAGTCGCGCAGCCCAGCACCGTCGGCCCCGCGCCGCAAGCCGAAGCCCAGCATCCCCGGCCCAGTCGCGCGCCCAGCCGCAAGCCGCGCTCGCGCAAGTGCCTTTCCTCCGCAGCTGACTGGCCGGGCCCGCGAGTCAGACCCATCTCCTTCCCCTTGTTCGTGTCCCAGGCGGACACTGTGCCGTCGCCGATTGAGTCCGCCTCGACTACGATCTTCGATGCCGTCGCGCCCAAGAATTTTCGTCCCCATAAATAGCGCCCGCACCCCTCCTCTATCCCCTATCCCATCTAGCGTCCGTTTTTCTTCGCCAAGCAGCCGCAGCCGCTTCTCGCTCGAGCGCCGCCGCCGACCTCCACTGCCAGCTCGCGCCGGGCCGCTTCTACCGCCTCTCGGTCTCGGTGCTCGGGTCCGGTGAGTTCGCCGTCCTTTCCTCTCTCCCTCTGTATTTTTCTTTCGTCGTGTAGTGCGCTGCAAGCCGGGAACCGCGAGCTCCAGAGGCCGGCCATGGCGCCACCGTGGTCAAGCCGCCGTCAGTACTGTGCCGGCTGGTTTTTTTTCTTTTTCCGCCAAATCAGATCTCATCCGTCGGTTTCTAATCCAACGGCCCAGATCTACAGATACCCCTTCGCTGCCAATCTTTCAAATACGCCCTTATAATTATTCCAGATTCAACCCGCGGTCCTTTGCGCGTTTCACAGTTTACGTTTCTTTCTTTCGAAAGCGTATTTTCTTTCGGATGGGCTGAAATACGTTTTCAATTATTTATAGATCTGCCATTCAACTTGTTTTAGCCGTAAAATCTTCGTTTTAACTCCGATTAGATCCGTTCAAGTTGCGTTGGGTTTATAATTAAGTAATCTACACGTTTATGCTACTGTAAAGTAGGTTTCCAACTTTTATAATTCGAGCTTAGATCTAATCTATTATTTGTCTATAGGAAATCTTGTTTAAACCATAACTTTTCCGTTTTAGATCCGATTTTTGTGATCTTCGCGTCTGTGTGTTCATAGCGAGACGTAGATTCGTTTTCCAAACTTTTCATCTTGATTCTTTGCTGTTGGTGTACTGTTCTAATCTGTAGCCTTGTTTGCTTTGCATGATTGCTCCTAGATGCTTGTATGTTGCTGTGGTTATCGAGTATAGACGGTGAGCAGTTCTCGGAAGGTCAAGGGTACGACTTTGACGAGCAGGACCAGCAGGAGTACGTTGCTCAAGGCAAGTATAGCATGGGATCATCCTTATTTCCTATTCACTTTAATTCATTAAATTCATGTTGCATGTGTCTTCTTGTTTGGAATTTCCTAGAATTGGACTATTGCCTTGTCACCTATGGGTTATGCATATGGGTAGCTTTGCTAGAGCTCAGTCAAACCATGATCTTGTAACTTGACTAATGGTATATGCAATAAACATAAAATGTGACTTTTTAGCAACATGGAAACAGGGGGCTGGAGTGTTTAGCTACTTTCTAAATGCTTCAGATTCCTCTCCCTAAGGACTTATCTGTAAGTGATCATCCGGGACTTACAGTACAACTGTGAGAGCTACATGGCTCTGGTTTTAGCTCAGTATGAGGACCTTTTCTAGCTTGTTAGTGGTTACCTTTATTGGCGTAAGAATGGCTTGACGAATCGGGTATAGGACAGCCTCTACTCTTATGTGTATAGCCGTGAAGAAATTGTGCCATTTGACAGGGTTGGTTCCTATAACTGTTTGCCGAGTGAATCTAATGGCCCTAACTTGTTAGACGAACCTTTGAAAGGCTTCATAGTGACCCCTGCCTGCTCACCTTGGAAGTGTTTTGGGAGTTATAAACCTGGGCATATGGGAATCACGACTCACAGTGAAAGTGTACAACCTCTGCAGAGTGTAAAACTAGTATATCAGCCGTGCTCTCGGTCACGAGCGGCCTTGGAACATTTATGGAATAGATGATCACTAAGTAATATCTGTTTATGCTATTCATTACTCATGTTTACATTTGATCATGTGTTCCACTTTGGGAATTGAAACACCTTGATGCTACTCATAAGCTAAAATTGTGACAACTAAAAGCTGACCGCTGTTAAGCCTGTGTCTAGCCTTTTGAGCCTCATGAACCCCGTGTTACACTTGTTGAGTACGACATGTACTTACGCTTGTTTATTTTCAATATTTGGATAAAAATCCCGGATGGGTAACAGATGACCTCGAGAATGATGATTTCCCTGAGGACTACTAGACTTGTGGTCAACCAGTCGACGTCCCTGTGAATTGGAGCTTCCGCGATAGATCTTTTTATTATTTTCCGCTATACTTATGTAATAACTCTGTCTTATTCGTGATGTAATAAACATTGGTGATGATACTATTCATAATTTGTCGGCTTATGTGTGTGACTGATCTCTGGGCGCACATAAGGTTTTGCACCCCATTTTATCCTTAAAATTGGGTGTGACAGATTGGTATCAGAGCCGTGTTGACTGTAGGACGCAAGCCTAGTTAGCAATGGTCATTTTAGCTTCTTTTGCTTCACTCATTTCATGCTTTCTATCTCACCCTTGTTATTTGCTAAAGTTTTATGCTTCTTTTGCCTTATTCTATTATGAAAATTATTGCTTCTAATCTAACCTAATTAAATCTAATTCTGTAGATGCCTCGTGCCCACAAGACTGCCCACATGAGCACTAGAGGGTATTACCCGCCACAAGGTTTGTCCATGGATCCTGAGGAGGAAGAACCTCAGGAACAGGAATTGGATTCGCCAACACTGCCAACGCCTGAGTCCACACCTGAGCCAGCCCAGGATGACCCTCAAGAAGTTGAGATCGTTGACTTGTCCGAAAACGAAGAGGAAGACATTGTTGAAGAGGATGAGCCGATCCCGCCATTGGGGTGGACAATAAAGGTGTGGTATAAGCCAGGATGTGAATTCTCCGTTTCACATCACCGACTCATGAGCCTGCTTCAGACATACTACAGTGACTGGGATGTAGCTGTAGAATACGCTTGCGAAGAGCATACACACCCTCTTGAAGACACCTACTGGAAGGTTAGGGTGTGCATCACCATCAAGGATGAGCAGAAAGGTGCGTATCAGCTGGATTCAAACTACGCACACCATGGTCACCGTGCTACCATGGAGGACGGCATAGAAGATGCAGCCGCTGAAGCTTGCATAGGCCTCTTTGGTCCAGGATTCGAGGTCATGAAGGATGATCAATATCGATTCCTTCCTCATCAACACCCAGAATTGGGATGGGCAATGATGGACCCGCAGGGCACGGATCCAACGACGGAAGCGATGGTACACTTTGGTTACGAGTCTGTGTCAAGGATTCGCCGATTGGAGGATCAATTGAAGGCTCAGCAGAAAGCAATCAAGAGGCACCAGC